ATGCATAACTCTGTGGCTCGAACTTCACGAATTTATTTGAATATTTAGTTTACATTTGTGATCATTTTTCTAATTGTAAGATTTAATTAAATCTTGCAATTTTTTATAATCAAAATTTTACATTTATAGCAATTCTGTGATATATGAAAGATTAATCTTATGTACATTTTTATCTTTATTCTCGAAGTTGTAGCGCGGATGCCCGGATTGAGATAAGCTAATCGACGACTTGCATTTAGAGTGATTGACCTCTTTTGTATATCCTAAAGTTAATAGATGCGATCTCTTTAGAGAACTTTAAGAAGAGACATACATTATTTTAATAAAACGCAATATTATTATTTTCTGTTTCGAGTTAGTATTATTGCATCTATTCGGTCATGATGAATTAATGAGTGTAAACACAATGTAATTTTAATCATATGTAGCTGTTCATTCGTCCAATGATCTACGCGCATTAATGCTCGACTTGCAAACAATAATCGTAAATGTACCTTCAATTATGTTGCAATTGAGGTGACGCATGATTTACGCGTTATTATGCTAGTTACGCCACGCGTTACACAGTGCGTAAACAATCGTGACACGTGTAACTTTACGGAAACCACGGGGCAATAATTTTATTAAAATATATCGTGCGATATAAAATGTTAATGATTTTGTCGAGAAAAATCTAATGAATTAAATTCTAAATAATAAGAAATGATTTTCCTTTGAGGTAACCTAATGTATAATAATTTAGAAAGAGCATTATCAGTGTTTACTTTTTTTTTCGAAATATGCAAAAATTGAGAGATTGAAGAAGTTTAAGCGACACTTTTTTAATATCCTTGTTTATCCTTCCTCTTTTTTTTAATTATGCTTTTATATTATTTTCTTTCTTTTAATATTTATCTCAAAATATTTAAATGTTAATGTTTTATTTCGAAATTTAAAATGCTGACATGTAACGTGATATATAAATTGAAATATTGTCTGCTTTCGCATTTTTTTTCAATTTTGGATGTATTTATACGGAAATTGCTGAGTCCACGCGTATGTATCATATAGTGTACTTCGTCGAGTAATATGATAAGAAGATTGAGTAACTCGACATTCCGACGTTCGAAAGTTCTTATGTTATCTAATTTGTCAGCGGAAGTTGTGTTTTTCCAACAATAAGACGAGCATTGCGTGATTTCACATCTCGTAGCCTCGAGTCTATATGTCAGTGCGTCTCGGTTTAGACGGTTAAGTCAAGATTCAGTTAAACATCTTTTTGTACTCCATTGGACATCCTCTTTCGCTTACGGTTGTTTATCTAGCACGAAGACTTCTCGAGTTATCAGTTTTCCCGCGTTCCAACCGCTTATCTACTACGTCAACTTTGTTGGGCTATTTTCGTCCTTTTTACGTGACACTTGATGTAACAATACACACACACACACACGCACACACACAGAGAGAGAGAGAGAGAGAGAGAGAGAGAGAGAGAGAGAGAGAAAGAGAGAAAGAGAGAAAGAGAGGAATATTGTATTTTATCAAGGGACGCATGAGAACAGAAAAGTATTTAAAGACAATAAAAAAGGAAGACCTCTCGAAAAGAAGGAAAGATGTTTATTATTCAACTAAAGAATATTACTTGTGGACTTTCAACTTTCTGGTATACAATATTTTACAACAAACAGCAATTTTTGGAAATCATGATGGATTTATTGAAAATTATGTGAAAAGTGTTGCAGCAATGAATATTGTAATCTTGTGTTGTAAATTCTTTGCAGTGAAAATGTAAAATATCGACCGAATCTTTCTTAACAATTGTTCTTAATAATTTTAGAGACTTTATAAGAGAAACAGAATTACAGAACGCATATTCTTTGCACAATTACCATCCAAGTTATCTACTTGAATTAATAAAAAATACATGGTGACAGAATGAGTAATATTTCCTTTAGTCTCCCCTATGTGTTCCAAAATATGCAGAATGTGCAGACATATATATTTACAAGTGTATTACATTATATATTACCAGCGAAAGTAAGTTGTTGGCGCACCGTTGCATCTACTAATGGAAAGTGTAGTTTAGCAACATTTAAGAAAAAATACACATTCAAGAAGATGAAGGCATATTACTTAGTCTCTTTTATAATTACTTTTCATTCATTTCTAATAAAAATAAACGAAAAGAAAAAACAATTATAAAAACAGACTAAGTAATAAGTTTCCATCTTCTTGAAATGTGTTTTTTTTTTAACGTTGCTAAACTATGCTTCATCGACTTCACTGTTTCTTCTTCTTGGTGTCTAACGAAACCGTATAGAAACATCTGCCTCTTCCAGGAAGGTGGTCTCGAGATAATGCCGTATGGAAACGCGCTCTGTACATACAAAGTTGCTGGTCGCCTCCAGAACGAGAACATGTTTTTCTCCAGTTCCCTGAATCGCTCATATATTTCCCTTTTTTTCTCTTTCGTTTTTTTCATTTTACGACGTATCTCAGAATTTTTCCACAATACATCCCGTTAAAATTTACGAGCATCCCGTTTTGTTCTTTTTTTCAATGTCAGACATTGCGAAGAAAAAAATTTCTCTTCTTCGATATAAAAGTCAGTTTCTTTCGTTCATTCGTTCATTCACTTCTTCCTTCCTTCCTCCGATCGGCTTTTCTAGTTGGAATTTCTTATCGTAAGAGGAAGTTGATAGAAGAATTTAATCAAAACCCGTGAGAGTACATCCGTTTGCAAAGCGTTCTCCTCCAAAAGTACACGGAAAAAACGATTTTACTAAAGCATCTAAAAATTTAGATATAGATCTAAAAATAATTTTGTTGAACCATTAAAATTATTAGGAAACTCATGACGAGCAATGCTGTAAGGTTTTTTGATATTCTAACAACTAGACTTTTTTTTGATTTTCCTAATTATTTTTGATGATCCAATAAAATTATTTTCACATTTGTACTGCCTAAATTTTTAAATATTTTTCAAATATTTCAGCACAACTATTCTTTTCGTATACTAATATCGACGTTATGTCTGTGTTAACATAATACAGCAAAAATATTTTATTAATACGATCATTATTTGATTAAACGTAAAAGTTTAAGGATATTTTTCATAAAAGAATGTATTTTGATATTAAATCAAATGACGTTGGATTATTTGTACTCTGTCGACTTTTCCCACAACTAACATCTAACGGCGGCCATGTGTCACAAAGAAATTACGAAGTGATAACAATATAGTTTATTATTTCCTCTGAATGAAGGCGAGTGCCTTTTTTTGGTATCCGGCTATTTAAATCATTTGAATTATGCCATATGGATCTTTTCTATCGTAACTTCATATCTCTTTGGCCTAATATCTCCAGCTTCCTCTTTTATTCAACTCATCATCACGAATCTTCCGTATGGAAGCAATAAAATTCACGCATTCGTCAAGTGTAAGACACGCATCATTTATAATCAACAGTTTACGGTTTACATAATTTGTTAATGAGATCTATTGTGTTTTGAATAAAAAAATAGCTTGCCATTAGATGTCGGAAATAACCTATATAGTAGATACAGATCATTCTAGCAATATTGCAAAGTTCCAGTAATATTGTAATAATATTGCAACGTTGCAGCAAATTTCTGTATGGAAAGGATGATTTTGCTGAAGTATCTAAAAATTTAGCTATATTTCAAAATAATTTTGTTGGACCATTAAAATAATTACGTAAGAAATTCAAACGTGATAAACAACGCAAACAGTTTTGACATTTTTGCCATCGACCTTGAGTGTTCTACATAATTATTTTGATAGTTCAACAAAATTTATTTTCAGTTCTGTGTATCTAAATTTTTAGATTTTTAGATTTTAGCAAAATCATTCTTTCCGTATAAGATTCGTAATGAAAATGGCTTAATAATCCAATGAGATACGACTAATATATATTTTTTCTTCTTTTACGGAATTTCACTCTTGAAGTGACAGTGTCACGATTTGATATATTTATTTCACAATCAATTACTATCGCTGGACCCGGCGAAGAAAACAAAGGGCAAGGACCCCTGGTGAGGTTTAGGACTTCCCTTGCGTTCACAAGATGTTCCGGAAAGCCGACGATGAGGCCGGTATAGCAGGCTATTATACGAGCGCAGGTGTCGGTGCAGATGTCGCGGACAAGCAGACGGCTTGCCATGATCGCACGTCCTGCTTGTGGTACCGTCTCGAAATTTTAATAAAACTCAAGCAAAAGAGAGAAACGAGCTGGTCCCGTATCTGCTTTACGACGCGAACCCGTGTATCGCAAGCGCGACTGTACAGACACACATGCACGCGCCATGATATCCATGCTATGCATCTCGTCCCCTTGCGTATTTTTCGCAATAGATCTTGATATCAATCTGTCAAGGAGCTCATAGATAATCATTAGCGAACGGAAGTAAAACCCGTTTCTAAAATTCGGATTTAGCCACTAGTTATCGCTTATTATTATTGTTGTTATTTATGATTTGATTGAAAATCTTGATGAAAATTTTTCTCAAAATTGTTTATATTATATAATTTTTCAAAATTTTTGTAAATTTCAGAATTTCTAAGTAATTTTCTAAGTAATTTAAAAAAAAATTTCTCAAAGTTTTTTATACAAATTGAAACACTTTTGAAGTGCTGAGAAAGTCTACATTTTTTCTATAGAATTTCATTTATATATAATTCTAAGAAAAAATGTTAACTTTTTTAGTATTTTTGAAGAAGTGTTCCAATTCGAATAAAATTCTGAGAAAAAAATCTTTAATCTACGTTTATTTGCATTATTATTTTTAGTTTTATAAATATAATTTTAAATTTCTGTGTGCAAAAATAATATATTCTTATTTGTTTTTGTCATTTTAACACAAAATTCTTTGAAGATGCTTAGAAATATTACCCTTGAGAAAAAAACATGTTAAGGTTTTCTCCTTTTCCAAGAAATTACTATTTTCTTACTTCTTAATTTTATTATTTCTGTCAATAATAAGAACAAATTTTATTTCAGGTAGAAGTCGAGATGTTGTGATGGCTGGTAGGTCACGACGTTCGAGCACAGAGCTCGAACCGGATTTATCGACGCCAACTGCCTCGAAAAGATCCAAGCAGTCCGAAATCGCATCCGATTCGTCTGGAGAAAAGCACCTAACAAAAGTGAAAAGTATCGAGACATCGAGCACGAGTGAGATACCTGTACAGATAGAAATCGTTTCGGAAGGAGATAAACAACTTTCAGATGTTACAGAGATCTCTGCACAGACAGAGATCGTTTCGGAAGGAGATAAACAACTTTCAGATGTTACAGAACAGGCAACAACATCGAAGCAATCAGTTTTAGTCAGTGAAACGTCCTCGGAATCGACTAAACAATCGTCTCAAACAGATCTCCCCAGACAAAAGAGTGATATCGCATCGACTTCAACGGAAGCGATCCCGAGTACATCGAGAGAAGAGCAGCTCAAGACATTAAAATCCGTTGTAATGAAGTACAGCGATCAAGGTGAGCTCTCTGTTCCTTCCGGAAGAAGATCAGAAGAGACGACGATACAAAGTTTCTCGCTGCGTGAACGAGCGTCGTTCGAGAATTTGTCCGTTATCGGGAATGGCGCTTATGGGACAGTGTACAAAGCTACAGATAAGAATAGTGGTCAAACTGTAGCGCTTAAGAGAGTCAGGATACCTTTGACGGAGGATGGTCTGCCTACGTCCACAGTAAGGGAAATTGCTGCCTTGAAGTCGCTCGAGCAATACGAGCACCCACATATTGTAAGCATCTTTTAATCAAAATATAATTTTCGTTATTAAGTACGTATTATATTTATACACACACACACACACACACACACACACACACACACACACATGTGTATATATATATATATA